GCCCCGCCTAGCCGATGCCTGAGCGCTCGTTCCCGCCGCCGGCCCCGCTCGAGCAAGAGGAGGGAAGATGGCGGCCCTGGGCGCGCTGCGCGGCTTTAATCAGCTGCCAAGCGTCATCTCAAACACGTGTTTATCCTAAACGTGCCCCCGGCGACACTCCCGTGCACCTGAATTCGCAGTAATGAAGACAGGTGACCCTTCACACCCGACAAGTTTTTTACCTCTTGGCTCCCTGCCTTTTTATTTACATGTTTTGATCAAAATAATAACTTGGTTCTCCTTTTTTTTTTTCGTTATTTTAACTAATGGATATGTATTTTAATATTCCTACTTACTTTTTTGTCTGTGTAAAATGTACTTCAGATTCTTAAGATATTTATGAGACCTCTAGTCCGTCATTACTGTCTTTGCCTTTTGCCTCATTTTGTTTACAGGAGAACTTTCCTAGTGGGACAACATAATCCCAAGCAGTATCATAATCCCTAATTCACACTGGTTTTGTTGGTACTTAGGTAAGAGCCTTGGAAAAAAAAATAGACTGAACTGAGATTGCAACCAGCAAGGAATTAGTGACAGATCTCAGTTCCATTCTAGGACTTTCTTTATGGCTGTCTTATTGACAGAAATTCCAAAATGTTTTTAAAGTGTATTTATTATATTAAAGTGAGCTATAGCTAACGAAGCCAGTGCAACTTCCAGCTACAGAAGGCACTGCTCATCTCTGAGGCCACTTCTAGGCACACAAAACTCTGTGTAAAGGTTGTTCATCCCAGGAAGTCTCACCAGAGATATTGAGGCCTGATTTGATTGTCATCATTAGATTCAGAATGAGTGACAAAAGCTGATCACTGTTCTAATGATGTAAAAACTAGTGGTAGCTAAGTAAATGCTACCGCTGAGAGAAAAGAACTATCTATATGGCCAACTGAGTTTCTTTCAGGTTTGATATTTATTAGCTAGGAATTGAGATAGCTAATTCCAGTAGGAAAGCTCCAACTGCGAGTTTTCCAGGAGCTTCCATTTCATAGCTGTTCTATCTCCCTTTCCATTTCGTAAATTCAAACATACAGTGTTATCTCTGAAAAGACAAGATACTGGTTTGATTTTTAGAACAGGCTGATGTCAGAATTCAATCCAATGTTTAACATTTATCTTGCCATAGTAGGAAAAAAAATCAAACTGGAAAAAAAATCTAATAACCTATTCTAAGAAGCAATAATCCACAATTATTCAGCAGTCTCATGGTGATGTCCTTATAATGCAAAATCCATAGCAGTGGGAGTATTGCCACACTGCCCGTTCTTCAATTAACTAAATGTGAGACAAAAATGCTCTCGGGCGTCTCTTTTTATCTCATTAGTGGAGGAGATAATAGCTCATATTTCACCCCTCCCCCCCTTTTTTTGAAATTATACTGCACATCATAAAAGTAAGTTACAGAGAGGGCCTAATAAAGAATCATTCTCTTGCTAGTGAGGGATTGTTTTATGCAGTGCATCCTTTGTTCCCTAAAATATACATTTTATGTAATGGAACTACTGTTGAAGTTAAAGAATAATATCTTATTGTTGCAATTGGAGCTTTGGGGTGTTAGTGACAAGATTTTCTTGTCAAGATTTATAGCTGTTTTTTTTTCCTCTTCCCCCCAAAATAATCTAATTCAGATTTCCACAAGGAATCCTGATTATGAACAGTACAGACACTAGCAAAAGCTTTAAATAAAAGACTTCAAGGAAACAGGACTGAATTCTACAAAAGGTTAATGAGGGAGCAGGGTCTGAGCACAGCAGGATGAAGCTTTTGAGGCTCTGGTGCCAAATTTGCTGCTGTTGTGGGGAAGTCCTTCAACTCCCCTCCTTCCTACAACTCCAAGGGAAGGAGCTCCAAGGGAAGGAGCGTTAAGGGGATTCTCCCAGCTTTCATCCATCGATGGACGGGCCTCAAGGTAAGCCGGGCCACAGTGGGCCTCTCTGCAGCTCCGAGAGCATCACGGAGCCCTGGTTAGTTCGAACAGCAACGCTTTGAATGGAAGGTCTATAAAAACAAATAAAAAATCCTTCCGAATTAAGTTTTTATCCTTTGTTATTTTCAGATTTTCCTGCATCCGATACACGTAGAAGTGCCGTTTCGTTTG